CTGCAATTTTTCATCCACTAAACTGATTTTGTTAAGACAAGATTTGATGTGATTTTCTACTCCAAATTTTTGAAGCACTTGCGTCACATATTTGTGACGCTAGCAGTTAAGAGGTTAGCCAGAGTAATGCATGCACATTTATGAGCTGCAAACCATCAATCAATTCTTCGGCACCATCTTTGAAACATTTATCAGTAGCACGACTTTAGAGAGCCAAACAATTTCCACAATCATTCTCATTCCTGACTGACAATTCCACAAAACCACACGCTGTGGTGACAGAACAATCTCGTGTGTGACCGATTACTGCACACTTCCACCTACCCTCCTCCTCATCATCACACCTTTTTTCCCTATTTACGAGACACATTTAGTTAGCAACCTTCACAACACTACCACTACCACTTCTGGACACTCTTAGTGAGTTTTTATCACTTTACAATGATTTCCATCATTACATTGCTTCTATTTCCATCAGAATACGTTGTCCTGTCATTTAAATATTTACACCGCAGTGATATTTTTATTTGCCCTGAATTTCTGCGCTCTCAAAAAAGTCTAGTTTAGTTAAGCCACGGATTTTTAATCCTACATTTCGTTTAGATTGTAAACGTTCATCTAGGTAAGAAGTGATGCACGCCAAACCTTCATATCCAACCTTCTGCCTCAGGTTTGTCTGTTTTAAGGAAAGGTAATTAGGAAATTCTTCCACTCGAATAAGAAATTTTTACTTCTCCAACACATTAATAAACCTGAGTTCATTTATCGACAGGTATTTTCGCTTCCTTATTTGTTGAAGGAATGTAAGATTAGCGTGATTTGAATTTATCTCTTCAATTATTTCTTAACACATTCACTGTCAGGTTTTCAGCGAAGTATCGACTACTACTATTTCAGGTGTTTTATAGTCCTGATTTGATTTTTTAACCAAGTCAACCCTTGCTGGAGAGAACTAAAAGTGCTGCTCCCCCCGTACATGGTCAACCTGCACTGCCTTTTACTGATTTTAAAATTGCTTGTCTTTGGGTGCAACAACTTGGTGCGGTCATTTGCGACATGCTAATTTAGAACCTGGGCAACATATGTGACACTCAGAGTAGGAAGTCGAGCGTACAACCCAATAATGTTATGTAATCGACGTTCTGTTTTGTTAGTTCATGAAATTCACACGGCACGTTAAATTTATCCGTAAATGTTCAGTTCATCCCACCCAGAGAGGTGGTTTGTATCTGACCAGTTAGTTAGTTTCCATAACGCTCTGTGAGGCATTGATGATTAGGTTATTTCTCGAACAGCTTAAGGCATGTGAATGCTACAGCAACACTAAGGTGATACACGAATTGCTTTCCCAGCCTCAATTGGGGGCAAAATCTGATCGTTTGGTGTGTTTGACTGCAGATAGACTCCACTGAAAAGTTGTCAAATTCCACTTAATGTACTGTCTATCCTCAACAAATAAATGTTCGTTTAGCACTATTCCAGGATGATGATATGTGAGATGCAGAGTAGGTCCTTTGTTTGCCTTAACTTCAGTGCTTGTAAATTTTTATCGGTTTGACTGTGTGCTCTATAACCTATCTTATCTAATAAAATAAGGTGTCTTGAGACAATGGTTGTAATTCTTTTGCTTGGATCGAAAGTATCTAGCCCTTTTTGGCTATGCATGGGCTGTATCGTGACTTGGCTCTCGTTCCACTTGCATCTGCTGCCCTCGGCTGCAGACTGCCTATTTTAGTCCTTTGTTCCTGGCACCCTTAATCGCACATTATTCACTTGCAGGATAATACAATAAGTTACTAGTCTTT